GATCACCACATAGTCCTTCACTAAGATATTCCTGATCTCCGGAGTGAGTGACCCGTAGACGCATCGCTCGCCATCGAAAGTGTTGGCCTCACATCTGGCACCTAATGGTCGCACCAGTGGTTCAGTGGTGAGCGCATGAGTGCAGAGGACACACACGTACCTGACTTAAGGAGATAGCGGACAACATTGGTGTGTCCGCACAGACACGCGTAGTACAGGGGAGTCGAGTCCCACCGATCCCGAACATTCAGCTCCACTTCCTTCTGCTCCACCAGTTGTCTGCAAAGCAATGCATTAGTCATAAAAGACAATCACCTCATGAGTGGTCACGTGTGGCATACTTAACACGATTCACATCTCCTTTCTTGCAACTCATGAACAGATCATTCAAATCCATTGTGAAAACCACTATTTCTTGTGCCAATACAACGCTTCCCAATCACTTCAATCATAAGACCAACGCATTCATGGTATACGTCCTCAACAGTGAGGGTGTCTTTGCATTGCCTATGCTTTCAATGCAATGTATTTGACAAATGGCTCCAAGAGTCTCACAATGTCTTATACTTTATGGCAATCATTGCATCACATGTTATGGCAATCCATATATTATGCAACCAATTGGCGGGCATTTCAATGAAAGCTTTCTCTATATTGGGCGCCAATAAGACTGACGGTTAGTGTTTGAGATTTGGTTACATTACTGTATGTTATAAATACAAGTTATAATTATTACGCAAGTTGTCACACAACTTATTAATTAAAATATTTATTCAATAAAATATACGAAAAAATGACAAATGAACAGAAATGGAGGGAAAGGCATGTAATAGTGAGTCCTTGTATTCAGATGTGTGTTGGCCCTAAAAAGGGCCGTTTGAGTGGACGGGGATGTCCTTTGGTGTGATGTGTGGTCTACTTGCTTGAGGTATATTTGGTGACAGCTTTGGTGCCCTCAGAGACGGCATGTTTGGCGAGTTCTCCGGGAAGGAGGAGACGGACGGCGGTCTGGATCTCCCGGGAAGTGATAGTCGAGCGCTTGTTATAGTGCGCCAAACGGGAGGCCTCGGCGGCGATGCGCTCGAAGATGTCGTTCACGAAGGAGTTCATGATTGACATCGCTTTGGATGAGATGCCGGTGTCCGGGTGGACCTGTTTCAGCACTTTGTAGATATAGATGGAGAAGGACTCCTTCCTCTTCTTCCGGTGCTTCTTCTTATCGCCGGCGCGGACGGCCTTCTGAGCCTTTCCCGCCTTCTTCACGGCTTTACCACTCGGTTGCGGAGGCATTGGATGTGTTGGAAGTGTTGACAATTGATAGCAATAAGTATCAAAACAGAGTCCAAACAAAGTTTGTGCCAAAAGTCAAACTCTCAGTGCTTTATATACCCCTAAACTGGTGTCCAAATCACAAACCAATAGCAATGCAGTGCATGTCTGGTGGCGAACGTCAACGTGGACTCACACGCGC